TGGGAATGGGGTTTGTTTGGTTTCTTTGCTGTAATACCCGATACCTGTCTATGTCTCTGAAAAGGGGGTCGTTAAAAGGAATTGTTGGCCTGGCTAAACAGGCGAGGTGTTCTGAACACTCCATTCCAAAGGAGCGGACTCGTCCGTCCGTTTCAATTGGCATGTTTTCTAAGCCAAAACAAGGCTTTGCTTTTGGTCCACTCTATAAAGCCTCAACCTCAACGCTATTTCTGACATTTTGAATTAAGAAAGCTTCCTGGATGGGAGGCGAAATGTCTTCAAACCCAGAAACAAAGTCCAGTGTATTGTTTCTTAACTTCAGGGGTGGAAAGTAATGAATTACATTTACTCAAGTTACTGTAATTGAGTACTTTTTATGAGTAATTTGTAATTTTCTGAGTAGTTTTTGAAATATGTAATTTTTACTTTTACTTGAGTAAATTTTAACCTAAGTGGTTTTACTTTGCTACATTTAAACCCCCTCAGGTTACTGAGTAAAAAAAAAAAAATATTGATGGTGAAAAAATAAAATGCGGCGGGAAATTTAAACCCCTGTGTCACGGAACCGACACTTAATCGCCATTAAAAAATAGAAGACTTTTGACTTTTAACAGCACTTTATTCACACAATTCAAACATATAAACAATTGATGTAAAAACAAGTGTCAGTTAAAATCATTAAATGAGGAGCTTGTTAATAACAGTGTGATCCTTGATTTCTAGTATCTTTTGGGCATTTAATTTTGTGTGCATTTTGAAAACTTCAAAATGTAGTTTAAATATCTTTGTTCCTATCATGGTGTTGTCTGTTGGACAGTAGGACTGAAAATAGTTTGCACTTTATGGTACAGGTTGTGACTGTCCTATTGCTATGAGGAAGTATGTTCCTTAGCCCAGCTGATCTTTTGCAAGTGTGGATTTCCACTGAAATACGCCTTGAAATCGATTAAAACACCTTGTGCTCAATTCGATTCATGACTCATCCTTTTTTTGCATTAAATAACTCAAAGTAACTAAGCAACTTTTACTCAAATTACATTTTATAAATGAAGTAATTTTGTACTTTTACTTGAGTAAATTTTGAGATGGGTAATTTTACTTTTACTCTGAAATGTCTAAAATGTAGGCAAAGTAAAGATACTTTTACTCCATTACAATTTTTTAGTACTCTTTCCACCTCTGCTTAACTTCATATTTTAATTCTGTAGCTTTATAGGTCTTTAAACTGTAAAGTAAATCCATCATTATCATTTCTTCTTTTTGTGTAAAGTTATACTAAAATCCCTAGAAGTGATGTGATGGAAGTCTGAAAACTGGAGTACATTAACAACAAACTGTTTTTCCTATGGAACAAAATCATTAATAGCTGAGATTTAAAAAAAATCCACAATTTTGGAAGATTTCAGTTTTTAAGTGTGTGATCAGTTTAATCACAAGGCATTAGTGGGAAAATACACTTGAATAATTAGCTTTTGTGTATTAGCAATAAGGAACTCCTTAGAAAATGATGGAGCCATTACCCTCCATTGCTGGGAGCATCTTCAAGCTGAGATTGTTAAGCTGGAAAGAAAAAATATTCAGAAAACCCAAGATTGTCCAGAAAACTCTGTGTCTACCTTCCCTCTTAGGGCTTATCTAACAGATTCTGTTGTCTCTAGCAAAGATCTTGCTTAATTTTGTAGAAGATAACAGTCTGAGGATGTTATCACTTCTATATGGTGTTTACTTCCTTAAAAACAAGCTGGTGTTTCCACTTTGTTGCGGTTCAGTTGTGTGGACATTAGCACGCCCATCACCTTAGGACACGGCACAAAAATCCACATCTGTTCAGAGGAGGTAATCTCAGTATGATTTCAAGCAAACTTCAGAGTAGTTCTTTCATGAAACATGATGTATTTGACTGAATGTAATTTGATCTTTTGGTTCAGATGCATTGAACGAAGGACGTATCCAAAGACTGCAAGAAAACAACTGTGTAATTCTGTGTTTAAGACAACAAGAAGAACAGCAAACAAGTCTTTCCTGTCTGTTTTTGACCTAAAGCTGGATCAAACTTTGATTATGCAGCAAGACAATAATCCTAAAAACACCAGAGAGTCTGTCTTTGACTGGCATAGAAAGACAAAATTATACTTTTGGAGTGGCCTAAACAAAGACTGGAACTAAATCTATATAAGGTAGTAAAGCATGAGCTTAAACATGGTATTTATGCATAAAAAGTGCCAAATGGCTCAGGTAAAACCCTTTGGCTAAGAGCAGTGAGCCAGTATTCCTAGAGGGTCAAAAAATAAGTTAATATGTTAAAGAGACATTTTGTACTTTTTTACTTAAAAATATCTTTGAAATGGCTTTTTTGATGTTTTACTAAACATAATTTATTGCTAGTGAATTCCTGGTTATTATATATAAACTACTTGCTTGCAGTTGGGTTAGGGGACAGTTGACCACAAATGAGTAAAAACATTGACATCAAAGAAAGGTTTGAAAAAAGAGAACTCACTAACCGGAAAGGAATAGACATTAAAAACTAATAAAATCCTGTTTTAAAACTGGAATTATGGGAAGGGACCAACATAGTAAAAGGAATGAGTATGTGGAATGGATTTAATCGAGGAAATAAATAGTCAAGAACGATCATTAAGTCATTTAAAAAACATAAACTACAATGTTAGGAATGTATGAAAGTTAATGACATAATGATGGTAATAGGTTTTAATTATTACAATACACAAATAACACTTGAAATACTATAGCTGAGAATAGTTTAACAGAAGTAATGTGGTAGAGTGGTAATAACTGAATCAAGGAACCAACTTCATAAGATTGTTCTTCTTTCTGCTCCTTTTGACTCAATTAAAGGAATAGTACACCCAAAACATGATTAGCCTTCATTTTCTACTCACCCCCATGCTGAACAANACACACACACACACATATTCTATGTTTAGAATTCACGTAGAAAACCTGTGAAACCACAGTGGTGTTTAGCAGTTTGTTGAAAGTATCCAAACCAGAAACAGGTTGCAGTGAAACATAAAACAGCTGAAGGTTTCTCCCGCATTCTAGATGTAGATAAATGCATATTTTCTATTTTCCATTCTACATTAGCACTTAGGTTGACACCCTGCCCTGACCTCTTTCCTCTCTATCAGTGCGTGTTTGCGGTGGTGCATAGAAGGAAGCAGTGGTGCGTGTACTGCGTGTCCGCCCCCTTCCCTCCTTCCCGCCCCCTTCATTTCCTCAATCCTGCTCCAACTGTCAGGAGGAGCAGACGCTCCGCTGTGATCGGAGGATAAACTGGAACATGAAGCTTCAAGGTAAGATTCAACATTGTTTAGGTTTTAGTGCCTCCGAGGGCAGCAGAGGATGACCTCTGCAGTAGGAAATGGAGTCTGTCGATACGTAAATAAAAACGCATCTGACAGTAAATCAGCTGGGAACTTTTCTAAAGCTTAATCTGATTCTTCTGAGAGAAATCTAACGACACAATAATAAAAAAAATCAACTAGGAAAACATTGATGAAGACTGTAGAGGTTTAGCCTTCAATCTGCTTTTATTTCAGTTCATTTTTGCTGTTCTTCTGGTGGAAATCAGGGTGACAGTGATCAAGCGCACCTGAGAACAGGTGCGTGCGCTCCGCGCGCCCTGCTGTTTAATGTTGTTGCGTTCAAGTGCGGTGGGAAACGCGTTTCTTTCCAATTAACAACTAAAACCTCTAGATTAGTCCCACAGATTTATCAAATATTTTAGATAGCATACCGATATTATTTGCCCAACTTCAACTATTAATCTTAATATGATCAAAACGTTATGTTCAAATGTGATGCAATGCTCGTATAAAAGGCTGTATAGATAAATAAGCTAAAATCTCTACATTTCTCATCAGAATCCATAACAGCCACATTAAACTTGCTTTTTAGCTGTGGATTAGTTTCTCTTTTACTTCATTCACTCAGTGAGGAAGTAAACTGCCAGATACTAGGATTTTAATTTGAAATATGCAAACAAAAACGAGCACTAAAAGGTGTATTTGTTGATGACATCATACAAGGAAACTGGGTATTACAGGATTGGCTGGTTTTATTTAAATATTTTAGTTATCATGAGATTGATTTAATAAATGATCAGAGTTTAGGTTGCTGGGGTCTGACTTTAGCCTGTGTTTTGATTTTTTGATTCAGCTTGGATGCTGCTATAGATGGTGAGGAAAGCAATTATAGTCTGAATTGTATCTGATGTATTTCTTAACAGTTTTACATTTCTTTATCGGATTTCTATGGTTGCTCATAAACACATTGATCTGATCTGCTAAGTCGATAGAAAACATGCAGTTCTGTTAAAATGGATATAAACCCTTCCACATGTTCTGTTTTCCCTTAGTTTTCTCATTAAAATATTTCAGATCATCAATCAAATATGAAATCAGACAAAAGTGAATTGATCAAAAACACCATGCAGCTTTTAAAAGACGATTTTAACAACCAAGTGAGAAAATATCCAAATCAAGTGCGCCTGGGTTATGTCAGGCGTGACCCAATGCCAAAAACACACAGACTGGTCTCAAAATGTACCAATTATCCCCAATATCTTTGAGTAAACATTCTGTTGAAACCAGACTGTGAAAGTAAGTCTTTTCGGGAAGTTGTGCTTACTGTAACATTTTGTGCAAAGCTAGAGATGAGTATTTGAATCACGGCCTGGACCAGGGTGATGTGCTTTAATTTTGCTTTCCACCAGAACTTTCTGTCGGTCAGTTTATGACCTTATGCCTAAGAGTGCTTTATCTAAACTGGCATCCCCTCGAGAGTTTTATAGCTGCAGGTTTTAGAGGTTTCCCTGCTTTAGCACAGCTGATTATGATGATTACAGTTGAGCAAAAGCCTTTTAATCAGCTTTCAATTAAAATCATCAGTGCTGGAGCAAGGAAACCTATAAAACCTCGAGGTCCGACTTTGGGGATGCCTGATCTAAATGATCTAAAGCAGAGGTTCTCAAACTTCTCAGCATCTGACCCACAAAATGGGACCAAAGTCGATTCATTGGTTCAGTATAGAAAAATGTCTTCAAAATCAATTAAACATCAATTAATTACATAATTATAAATTATATTATAAACAGTAAATAGTACAGCATCTAGTTGTTGTCCAATTTTAAGCAACCCTGTCACATTTTTAAGCATTTTAACATTGTTTATTGTTTAGTTTCATTTCTATAGAGCATCTCAAGACTCCATACAGATTGATAAAGTACCCCAAGTGGGGTCATGACCCTAACTAATAGATCAAAGGAACACCACTAAATCCTACTCGGAATGGATCAGTAACATCAAATTAAGTTTTGGATAGGCCAAATCTAAGTGCTGAATTAAAACTGATTGAGAAGTTGTGGTTTTTAGTTACTTCAAACCCAAAATCTTCAGATTTTGCTGAATTAACATAATCAAGAAAATGCGAGTCTCAGTTTTATAACAGATTGGTTGCTGATTCATTGCTTCTCTCAGTGGCACATGTTACTACCACAACAAAATCTGCATTTTGAATTATTTAGCCTTTGATTCATGATTGTTTTCTGTAGATTATATTAACTTTTGAGTTCTGCAGCAGGATGCGTTTGTCCTGCAAAAAAGATTCAAGGTTACAGTGAGGGTGTTTACCATCGACCCAAATCACGTTTAAAAATGACTAAATACAATCAAGAAATAAAATAGATGCTTGAAAAGCAAATGCATTGGAGAAGTTCTATAAACATTCTTAATTAGTCTTGAATAAATTTTTGTTGCCCAAGATTTCTAAGCCAGTTCTTAATAATTATTATAAAGGCTGTCATGTTAGATTAAAAGCCCAAACTCAATTTTGCAGAATTCACCTTCGCAACACTTCACCGTAATGTTCAATTTGGAGTATTTAGAACGCTCTGTATTGTTTTATTAACACTGAACCAGCTCTTCCTGTCAGAGAAAAGCTTTTATAGACTGTTAGGTTAGATCTTAACCACACCACTGAATGCCACTATAACAACTTTCTGCATGCCAATGCAAAAAGATTTAAAAGTGGCATTTCCTTTAGACAGACCTGTTCCCCGTTCTCAGTTCTTTATGCTTTGCTAGTACCGCATCCCTGTTCAGCTTATCAGGCCCAGGCTGTGGTTCTGAACAGCCTGCTGATTTTGATTTATTATTGCGAGAGCAAGATAAGAGTTCTCCTAGCTATCACCTTAACCCCATACTGAATCATTTCCTCTCATCAAGTCGATAATAGAAAGCATTTCTGCTTATTTGATTTCTTTTTAAGCTGCTTAAACACATGTGCTATATTTTCTTTTTTTGGACTTATTACTGAGGAAGTGTCTCTTTAGTCCTTGCCCTGACGGAAACTCATTTCTTTTTGACGGTGGCCAAAGGGTGCAAAAGCTGTGCAAACACAGGCTTTGACAGCAAAACGTACAGAAACGCAAAAATGAGACTGGCAAACTCAAAGTGAGACTAGAAAACACACATAAAAATAGTCTAAAAAAATAAAAATCAGACTAACACACAAATGCATGCAAAGGAGAAATGCTGCAGTTAGTGAAAAGCTGCAAAGTGGTGCCAGTGGTAGTTCTACAAAATGTTCAAAGGAGGTACCAAAAAAGTAGAGTTTGTTATTTTCAAGTTTCAAGACGTTTCTTTTTCAGTCAATATGTCTGAATTAGGGTTGAGTTCCAAGCTTGATAGAGTAGCCCAACAAAGCCTTGTTTTGGCTTTGAAAACATGCATATTGAACCTAAAGAACAGTTCTGCCCTTTAGTATTGGGGAGTCGTTGTTAGCCAGAAATACCCGATACTGACCCTAAAAAGGGTCGTTAGGGGCATTGTTGGCCTGACTGACGAAGCGAGATGTCTTGGTCCCCTCCATGGCGATGACGATTATGATAGATAATCAACTCTATCGTTGTGTTGTAGGTAGGGATGTACGATAAAATCGGACCCCTATCGGTATCGGCCTGTATCGGCCTTAAAACTCAAAATCGGACATCGGCCACCCCACCGATATTTGATCTGCTTCTGAGTTTCTAAAGTAAAAAAAAATAAATAAATAAATAA